GTGCCACAGTCTCTCCACCACCAGGGTTTCATTCTCAACAGAATCTTTTTGCCACAAGTCTTTCTCCCCTCAAGTCTTGCTGCTCAGTGTGGGAAGCAGTCTTTTTCTTATTCTAGTCCCACAGCTAATGCTGATTTGCAAGACTATGTGTCTGCAGTTAAGATTGCTGAAGACCAGAGGCTAAATGGCTAATAAAAAGCCAACTTTTAGGCTTACACCATGGTATCTCAGCATTGAAAAACAAAAATCTTCACCACTGGACAAATTGGCAACATCATAGTAGAGACTGGAGTTATCAGTTATTTCACTTAACTGGATCCACCATCAACACCCATAACAGCAGTCAAGAAGTCAAAAGATGTGTTGTGTAGGGAATATCTGCTGTCAGGGACCTCTCCAAAGTGCTAAAGAGCAACAGTGTCAGTTTAACATGTACCTTATGCAAACTGTGGTATTTTCAGTTCCTTCTTAACGCATCTGAAAATTGGATAATGAATGAGGAAGAGCGAAGGAAGATTCAGTGCCTTTGAATTGTGATGTTGGTGCTGAGTGTTGAATACACCATGGACTGCTAAAAGAACAAACAAATCTGGCTTGAGGGAAGTACGAGAGTGCCCTTTAGAGGAGAGGATGGTGAAACGTCATCTCACATGCTTTGGGCACGTTGTCAGGACAGACCAGTCCTTGGAAAAAGATATCCCATGCTGGGAAAGGTGGAGGTCAAAGAAGGGAAGGAAGACTCTAAACAAAATAGACTGATACTGAGTGCAGCAGTGGGCTTGAGTGTGACTGATCATGATCACGGTGCAGGATTGGGCAAGGTTCAAATCTGTTGGATCACTGTGAGTCATGGTTGACTCAGCGGCACTTAACAACAACTCCACAAGGGTGCCGTATACCAACCTACCTAGTCCACGTGGTGGGTCACAGACGCCTTAGATTTGCATAGTCCTGTCCAGGGGAGCTCTGGTGGCCTGGTGTTAAGAAGCAGCACTGCAGTCCTGAAGGCATGCAATTCAGATCCGCCAGCTGCTTTGCAGAAGGATAGGCAGTCTCCTCACATGTGATTAACTGCTTCTGAAAACCCACTGGAGGGTCATCAGTGGGTCAGTTCTAACTTGATGGCACACAGCAGTATCCATTCATTTAGTGAGAATACAATGGCAAGGGCTAGACTAGTTGTATTAAATAATTCACGATAACTTCTGTTACCTTATCTCTGTTTCTCTTATTTAATCTCGTATTTCAAAAAGAGATTGATTCAAGGCATATCCTAAACTAATTTTACCTCATTAACATACAAACAGCCTATTGAGATTATATCATAATGATGGTGGTTAGGATTTTACAGCATATATTTTATTATTATTGTTATGTGCCATTGAGTTGACTGTGACTCATAGGAACCATGTGAACAGCAGCTCGGAATCTTGCCCTATTCTGAGGCAGCCTCACTGTCTCGAACACAAATAACCCCACTGCCTATATTTTAAGGGGACAAAATTCAGTCACAGCTGAAAATCCCACAGCACTATCTTGTGTTACTCTTCTGAGTCTGTGCTACCTCTGCTCTGGGCCACTCCTTCTTAGCATCTGACACCATCTCTGGTGTCACACTTCTCCCTGTCTCCTGAATCTAAAAAAGTCTCAGAGCACAGTCTAACAAATGCTCTGCCCTTTTCTTGGTGGTAGTAATCCCCCCCACCTTCTGACCTCTGGAGCTAGATTCCTTTTCAGCTTAGCAGGATGACAAAACTGACCAGTCCCTTGTTACGGTTCCATATATACATGCTCCAACCCTCACAATGAGGGGGGAGCTCTGGTGACCTAGTGCTAAGAAGCTGTGCTGCAGTCCCACAGGCACGCAGTTCAAGTCCACCAACTGCTCCACAGGAGAATGGCAATCTCCTCTTACATAGTCTTCTCTTTAAACTTCCCTTAAAAATGTGCTGGAGGAGGAGGAGGGTCAACTATGGTTCAGTTCCAACTCCTTAGCAGACAGTAGCCCCCCTCACAGTGGTGTCATGCACCTTATTTGCACTATTGGGAAGATGCCTCCTTGGACTACATGTACTTCATGTGTATTAAAAAACAAAGCAAGATGCTCTGCCGGGGAAGGAGGGGCAATCTCCTCCTGTACCAGTCAGATCTGATTTGATGGTACAATCACACAAAAATAATAAAATAAAAATTAAAAAAAAAACAAAACGATAAACCCACGTCTTGAGACTCTAAATCTTAACCAGAAAGGACTGCCTCACCTTCCTCCAGCACAACAGCTGGTTCTGACTGCTGGGCTTTCAGTTCACCGGTCACCACTCAGCCTACCATAACTCCTTTACAAGTATTGTCCCGCCCAGTCGGTTGGTGGGAATTACAAGATCGTGCTGAGAAAGCTTATATAGAAACGATCCATCACACAGTAACAACCCATTCCCAAATGGGATTATAACTACAGGCAAAGAGGTTAGAATTTACAGCACATATTTTAGGGACCATAATTCGATCCATAACAGGGACAAATGTGAAATCGCACATTGGGCTTCCCAAAAATCAATTGCTACAAATATAGTCTGGATTTGGCACCTCATAGATTGCCTTCTATAGGATTAAAGAGTCCTAATCAATGCTTGACAACATCAATTTCTGCCGTTCCCAGCCTTGCTCAGCTGGTACCTGGATATGAACCAGTGTTGAAAAAGTTAGTGCTTTACATTAGCAGCCCCATGCTAACCAGCAGAGTAGGGCTGGGCAGTGATGATTCTGTGCATGTGTGTGTACATGTATATTTTTTTAACCATTTTCTACGTCCACAGTTCAATTACATTGATCATATTCATAGTGTTATACAGCCAGTAAGTACCACTATCCAAAATGTCATTGTCCTAAACAGAAGCTATATCCTTTAAGCGAGAACTCCCCATTCTGTCCCTCATTCATTCACTGCTGTCAAGTCTGTTCTTAAAGTAACTATCAGGTTTCCAGAGCCCTTGACTGCAGTGAGAGGACACTGCCTATCACTTCAGAGTGACTGATGGTTCGCTGGAGATATGCAGCCTTGAGTTCGCAGTGCAGCTCTCTGCAGACTAGGCCAGCAGGGCTCCCCCTCAGCCCTTGGTAACCTCTGCTCTAGCGTGTGTCTCTGCTCTTCCCTTTTCTCTATAACTCAATATAAAGGGGGAATCATAAAATATCTGTCCTTTTGTTTCTGACTTACTTCACTCAGCTTGATGCTGGCAAAGTTCATGTCCTCTTGCATGTATCAGAGTTTCATGTCTCTTTGGGGCTGATAACACTTCATTGTATGGAAGCATCACATTTTGGTTTACCCATTCATCTGTTGGTAGGCATTTAAGTTGCTTCCACTTTTTGACTTTTGTTAGCAGTGTGACGATGAACACTGGTGTGCCAGTTTCTGCCTTTGTTTCTACCTTCAGCTCTTCTGGGTATAGGCTGAGGAGTAGAATTTCTGACCATGTAGCAGCTCTTTGTTGATCTTACCTTCCCGCCATGAGGCTTTTGGTTTCTTCACGTCGTCACCAGCTTTTGTTATTTTCCACTTTGTCTTGCATTTTTGTACTAACCATCCTGGTGGATGTGAATTGGTCTCTCATCTCTCACTGTGGTCGGCGCAATGTCTTTCCATTGGAGCAGCTTGGGACAGTGACGTCTGAACCAGGTGCAGACAGCCATGTAGGATCAGTCATGTGTGAAGAGGGAGGGAGAGAGCAAAAGGAAAGCCCAGGACCGAGGCTTGGAAGCAGATGGCTTTGGATGGGAAGGAGAAAACGAGGAAATTAAGTTTGGAAAGATTGCTTGGGTGCCCTGTGAAATGTCCTGGATGTTGACTCCGGGGGCTGATCATGCAGACAGTGAAAGACAGAGAGGCCTGGGAGAGGGGCATGCAATGCTGAGATCCATGTGGTGGTAGCTTGAGTGGCATAATGCCGGTTAAGTAGAGTCATTTTAGAATTTGTAGGGCCAACCAGAAAGCTCACTCAGTGGTCTGAGCCAGCCTGAGGAGGGCAGGGATGGTCTGGGACAGAGGAGAGGAGAGGGGAGGGGAGGGGTACTAGCTGAGTCTCAGGAGCCCAGGGAGTCAAACCAACTTTGAGAAGGATTAGAGCATTGGAGGTCAGGAGATTATATTCATTCTTAAGACTTTTTTTTTTTAATATTGCTTCAGCCGACACACACATTCACTGACCTCTGGAAATTTTCCAGACTGTGCCATGTCAAAACCACGGGAGCATTAGGGGGGCTGTACGTGCTGTCCCTGCTCTCCAGGAATCTAGTTGTAGACCCCTGTGCAGCAGCACCTGGCTGGTGAGCCCCAGTGTGCTATTAAGTGCTGAGGACCGTGGCAGGTCACACTCAGTGTGGAGTGATCAGGTTGATGAGAGGCCCTGGGAGCTCCTCAGGCCCGGTGACCACAGGCTGGGCCTGCAAGGCTGGGCGGGACTAAGGAGGAGGTTTGCAGAGAAGATGCCCCTTCTTTCCTTCATGGAGGCCGTTTTAGACATACTTCCTCAGGAACCCCTAGAGTAGTCAGCCAGCTTTCCACGTCACTTACCTGTGTTGCTAGTCAGAATCTCTGTGGTGCCCACCGCTGCCCTGCCCGCCTTTTTCTCCAGCTGTGTTTATTTATAGTGCCTTTCTGGTACCTTCCGAAGCTATCTGTCTCATCCTTTTAGGGATCAATTGCAAACAGACCTTGGGTATTGGGCAGCTTTTTAGTCATTTAATGCAAATAGCTGCGCTGCTTTGCAGGTCAGGTTTTAATGATCTGGAATCGATCCAAGCTAAGTGGCTTTTGATCTTGCCGCAGAGTGAAGATGCCCCTCAGAAGCCAGGGAGCCGCCAGGCCACATGCTCCTTATTAGAGCTGATGGCTTGATTCTTGCAGCATTTTCTAGTCCGCTTCAGAGTACATTTCTTCTCACCCCTTTTCTGTGTTTGCATGTATGTGAGGGGTTTTTTGTTTGGTTTTTTTCTCCCAGGTAATTTCGAGTGTGGAAATCCAGAGAACCTAAAAAGCAAATGCATCCCTGTGTCGGAAGCCCAGGAATATATAGCAGTAAGTAGACTGCAGTGTTTATCCACTCCCCGGAGGCCCCGTGCTTTTGTATTGATCTTTCAAACCTTGTAGGCTTGTGTGTTTTTTTTTCTTTCCTCCCCTCTCTGTTTCGTGTTTGCATTTGGCTTTCCTTTTTTTTTTTAAACCATAGTTTGGTGGTTGACTGCTTTAAAGCAAGGCAGCCATGGGGGTGATGAGCCTGAGGTAGCCAGGGCGGGGCCTGCTGTGGTGGGCTCACCTCACTGCTGGTCCTTAACCAGCTGCCGCATATCACTGCTGGCTGCTCCTTTCTTAAGCTGCTCCGGTTTTTTTGCCCACCCTCTCTCTGCCCTTGTGCCTGTTGTGCACACCACTCTGATTCCCTTGATTTTCAACACGACCTCAAGATAGAAGAATTACAGAAAGTTGCAGCTGACAGGAGTCATCAGGTTCAGTGTTCATTTCACAGAGGAGAAAACTGAGGCCTAGGGAAGGCAAGGGAAGGACTCAAGGGCACACATCTGGCAGTGGCCACGCTGGGACTGGAAGCCAGGTCCCCAACCTAGGGCTCTTTTTCATTTTGTCCCAAGATGAGCTACCAGCCCCCCAGCCTTATGCCTCAGTCCCTGAGGAGATCTCCATCCTTTGGTCTGCCTCCGACCTGCATTATTTTCTAGCATGTGCTTCCACTTCACCTCCCCTAGTTATAGCTCCTTCCTTGGCTTTCATTAGCCCCCAATTTTCTTCTTGCCAGTTGCCTATACTTTTAGTGGAATGGGGCTCCAGAGAACACAGGAGAGGAGCCCCCTTAATCCAGCAGCTGAGGAATGTTCTAGTCACTCCACCCAGACACAGCTAATCTCTAATCTTCTCCCAACTTCCCCTGCAGAATGTGACCGGCAGCTCCGCAGCCAAGTTTGAAGCTGCCCTGACCTGGATCCTGAGCAGTAACAAAGACGTGGGCATCTGGTGAGTGCAGACGGGTGTGAGAGCTGGTGGGGCAGCGTGTCCGCACGTGCCTGCAGCCCACTCCTCAACTGTCAGCTGATTAACCTGCTCCATCAGAGGTGTCTCGGGTCGGAGGCTAGAGAACAGGTCCCCCGGCCAGGTTGCTGTGGGCTTAAGTTTGAAACCACCTGGCAAAAGGAGGAAACAGCATTTAGTTGGAGTCTAAGGAGCAACTTCCAGATGAGACACAAAACTGAGGTGTTGGGATGTCTACCTGCAGTGCCACCTAAATCCTGTTTCTTGTAACTTGGCCTGAGCCCTTTTAATCCACCCGTCCCCATTTGCTAGAAGAGGCATTTTCCTGCACTTCCTCACCTCGGGCGCTGGTTTTCATTTGTGGAGGAAATGATTCTGTCTGCTGGCTTTGCTTAATATGAAAACTGCAGTAGGAAACAGCGGATTTCATTTTGACCAGCGAGCCTTGCCTCATTTTTGTCACTGGCCAGCCCTGTTAGCTGAGATAGCAAGCCTTTCACCTCCTTTGAAAGCCTGACTTGACAGCTCAACGCAGGGGTGGGGGCCCCAGCTTCCCCTCGAAAAGAGTCCTCACGAAGTCCGTTCCCATTCCTCAGCATGTGTCCACATCCCTGTTCAAGTTACAGCGTCTGAGATTAAAACACACTCCAGGGTTTTGTTCTCTTCTTCGCTAATCCACCCAAATTACTAATTCCATCCACAGTGCATCCAGTAGCAGCCCCCTCAGGCAGCTCAACCTAAAGCTTGATAACTGGATGCACGGCACGATTAAAATTCGGGGGCTTAAGAAAGAAAGCAAGCTGCTCCGAGTGGCTGAGTGATTTTTCTGTGTGTTGGAGAAGGCAGGGGAGAGAATACGGATTTCATCCTCCGTGCTCACTGAAGCTGCTGATGTAGATAGAATGATGACACCTGCCTTTTCTTATTCACAAAGGCAGAGAGAGGCTGAGCCTGGCTAAGATGACCAGTGTTAAAGTGGGTCGTGAGAAAATTGGGACACATCAGGCATCAGCCTGACCGGGGTGCAACTGCCAGGGCATGGTGATTGCCGCCCCAGGTCACCCCATTGGAAGGAGGCGCGGTTGTCCGTATCCCCTGTGTCCTGGCACTGCCTCACCCCAGGTCAGGGTGAAGGCGCTGTGCCAGGGCCGGCTGTGGAGACACTAGCAGTTGCCATTCCTTCCAGCCTCGTGGATGCCCCTGATCTTAACACTTAAACAGCTTATGCACCTACTCGTCATGGAAGAAAAGCACAGCCTCCACGATTCTGTCTTTGCGTTCTTGCCGTGCAATTGCAGAGCTAGTGATTCAGTAAACATTTCCATTTCTCTGTGCTCGGAGGTGGGAATCCAATTTACAGTTTAATCTTCTGCACGCTGAGAGGGGCTGTCGAAGACCCGACAGAGGGGGACGTCACTTTAGCGGTAGGGGTTCAAGCCTGCTGCCGTCTTTAAAGCTTTATTCTTTCTAAGTAGCCAATGTGGGAAATTTCTGGAAAGACTGCAACCAAGATACCAAGCCTGTTTTTATAAGCAAGCAGAAGCCTGAAAGCCCCTCCTTCCTTCTCCTCCTGTTTAAAGCAGGGGTTTTGTTGCCATTCCTTGGAGCTTTGGACATGTTTAGAATCCAGTGTTGCTGTTTCAGGTTGAAAGGGGAAGACCCATCAGAATCAGTGACCACCCTGGACAAGGTGGTGTGCCTGGAGTCCGCCCGCCCCCGGATGGGTGTCGGCTGCCGCCTGAGCCGAGCCCTGCTCACCGCTGTCACCCATGTGCTTATCTTCTTCTGGTGTAAGTCCCCGCCCCCTCTACACACAGCAGCCCCCACCCCACCTCACCCCTGGGAGCCGTGCTCAGCGACACTCAGAGGCATGAGTGATGAGTTATAGAAATCCCAAGCCCTGAGAGCTCATTTCTGTCTGGTGAACCTGAGGTCTGTCTAATAAAACAGAGAAGATGAACACGTCAGCCTCTGCCCCAGATTGCATTTACCTTTGGCGATGGGTGGTAGGCATGTGACGATAACTAGAAAATATCCCTGAGGTAGGATGAGGGGACCAGGGCAAGGCCACACTAGGCTTTGTCCTTTCCGGCAGCTCTGCCAAGATCCCAGTGTGCAAGGCCCAGGCCCAGAGCAAGGCACCGTGCGGGCCTTGGCCTAATTTGACTCCCTGAACAATATAAACATCTCCTGAGGAGCCCCAGCAAGCCTGATGCGAGCCAGCAGGAACCCCGAGTGCAGAGCTGAAAAGGAGAGTGCTGTCTTATCTCCCACATCAGGGCCACCTGATGTAGAGACCCCAGAGTCTCCAAAGGTGAAAGGCTAACCGTTTGCCAGCTCTCCCGGGGACAGGGGGAGTTACACCCCAGCGTGTACATGCCCCTCACCCCCAGCCATCCAGCACAGCGATCCTTATTGGCAGCAGTATCTCCAAATACAAAGGGCCTGGCATGTATATATGTATGAACTGCTCTGTTCTGGCACACAAGGGAGCAGGTGAAAGGCCCGGATGCAGTGGGGTGGAGCCAGGATCCAAATGGCTGGGGACGCATCTGTGGTGACAGCCGGCGGAGAAAGGTGATCACTTAATAGCACAGCCTCCCTGTGCATGTCTGCATCTTCTCCGCTCCTTGCTGCATATCAGCCCCGTGGCTCACCCATGGTAGATACTCAGAACACGTTTGCAGAGGCCAGCCCCAGCCTCTCAGAGCGAAGGCCCTAGGCTGTCTAGGCCAAGTAGAGGTGAAGTGACGAATGGACAGTGCCCTTTCTCTCACAGGCTTGGCTTTCTTGTGGGGCCTCCTGATTCTCCTGAAATATCGGTGGCGGAAGTTGGAAGAGGAGGAGCAGGCCATGTATGAGATGGTGAAGAAGATTATAGGTGCGTGACCCCCTCGTGAAAGAGCAGCTACTGCCTGCTGGAGGTTCCTTGCCTAAATAACATCCTCCTTCCTACAGACGTGGTCCAGGACCATTACGTGGACTGGGAGCAGGACATGGAGCGCTATCCCTACGTGGGCATCCTGCATGTGCGAGACACCCTGATCCCCCCACAGAGCCGGTGAGTCCATCTGGCACTGGGGCTGCCAGGAGTGCAGTAAGGGGAGCCTGACCCTGCTGAGTACCACAGCAGGAGTCCCAAAGCCTTGCACAGAGCTGCTGAGGACAGGTCACAAGCCCCTAGAGTCACAAGTGGGGTTCTGTTCACTGTGCTCTTCAAGGGAGAGTGAACCAGACAAGATGGAGGGAAGGTGTTCTCTCTCCAAACCTGGGCCCCTCCGTTAGTTAGCTTTGACTGGGGTAGTTTGGGCTGCAAGTTCCAGAAGCCCTCCCCCTAATTGGCTCAAGGAGTAAAGGGTCTCTTGGAGTCATGCAAGAAGCCCAGCGTATTCTTGGCTCCAGGCACAGCATAGTTGGGTCTCTTAGTCTCTTCTCTGTGACTCTCGTGATCCTGCATCCCCCATGACTGTTATCGGAAGGCTAGAAACCCTGAGTCACTGGCCACAGCCAGCACGGGTGGTGGGCTTCTTGTTTCTCTCATGAGCAACAGTAAACATTCCCAGAATTTGGATACTTGTCTGTTTATGCATCAATCACTGGCAATAGAGAAGAGAGTCTCCTTCAAGCTTAAGCCTGACCCACAATCAGAAACTCCTATTTCTGGTGTAGTACACACCACCTACACACAAAGAGAGAGGGAGAGGGAGGGAGAGACACAAATAGAAAGTTTCACAAAGATGAATGGGTCTGCTTCCAGGGCATATGGCTGTGAGGGGGAGAGGTGGCCAACCATTAGCAGACACAGCTCCAGGAGCATCTTCCACATGGGTTGTGAATGTTAGAGTTGGCCCTGGAATGGGTGTGTGAACAAACCGGGGGCGGGGGAGGGGGGGGACATCCCTTTTGGTAGCAGGCGGGGCTCACTGCAAAGCCAGCTCAGTGCTGGGTTCCTGCACAGTAAGTTGGGTGAGTGTGAGGGCTGCGGTGGGTATGGGTAAGAGTTCATGCATACTGAGCGAGTCTGGCACTGCTCTGAGCTCTCCCTGGATAAGATCTCACCAGATCCTCAGTGCAGCCCTGAGACAAGAACTGGAAGTGACCCCATTTCACAGATGATGAAAATGAGGCCTGAGGAGGTTAAATTTGCTCAGAGTCCTGTGGCTAGTGACCTTTTTGTCCACCACTCAGCCCCACCAGCTCTCCTCTCAGCTTCATACATTTCTGTGTATGACAAACATGGGCATTTAAGGGCCTACTTGAAATATGAAGATGGTTGCATAGTCTATAGGGAGCTGTACTCGAACCCAAAGGCCATGCCTCTCTGGTGGTTCAGATCCGCCACTAGCGGAAAGATGAGTGAGCAGTTTCCTCCTGTGTGATTTACCTGTAGCATCAGAAACCCAGAAGAGGGTCAAAGTCAAAGTTTCTGCCTCATAGCCGACTCTCCATTGAGTTTCCAAAGCTGTAAATCACACGGGAGGAGATGGTCCATCTTTCTCCCGCAGAGTCACTGGTGGATTCGAACCACTGGAGACACACAGTCTTTGGGTTAGCAGCACTGCTCTCTATGGGCTAGGCCACCAGAGCTCCCTTGTGTGGTGGTGGTGGTAGTGGTGATGTGTGCCATCGAGTTTGAACCAGCACATAGCTGACCCTCCAGTGTTTTCAGAGGCAGTTAATTGCGCAAGAGGAGACTGCCCATCCTTCTGCAGAGCAGCTGGTGGATTTGAACTGCATGCCTTTTGTGATTGCAGCACAGTTTCTTACCAGTGGACCAGTAGGCAGGCAGAGACAGAGAGGTCTCCCTATTCAGTGCCTGGTACTCGAAGGCTCATCAACAGGTAGCCATTATGGTTTGAGTTGGAACTATGACAAATAACACTCAAGGTAAAAGTGCAGAAAAGCATAATGGCCTGTCCTGGGCCTGAGTCACTCACCGCCCCTCCCACCTCCTGGGTCCGGTATTAGCACGACATCGAGGACTGACAGCCAAGGACTGCCTGGTTGGTGCGTGGCTCCACAGGCAGAGGGGGCTGACTCTCCCCTGTTGGGGAACCTCAGAAGACAAGGGCTGTTCCTGTGGCCAAGCTGGTTGGCCCTCAGCCTCTTGTATCATCTCCCGAGCCACCGAGCCCAGCCTGACCAAGCTCTGGACACTTAGCAATACATTAGCCTCCTTGTCGGCCCTGCTTGGGTACTCTCAGATCGGTAGATGAGGGCCTGTTTGTGAGAGATTGAGAGATTTGAAGAGCCTGTTTCCTGTGAGAAGCAGGGGAGCTGATTAGAGCAGCTGGCTCAGACAGGCCTGTTCATTACCTGTTAATGGGCAGCCTGGGGAGGCGGGGCGGGGGACGGAGCCAGCCCCACACCGCACTGGCTGCTGCCGTGGAGCTGTGCCTGTGGGTGGGCATCCTGGGAGCTCAGTCCCCAAAGAGTGTGTGACCTTGGCCAGACCAGCCAGCCGGGGGCTACAAGACAGGCTGAGGGGTTTGGGACAGGCTTGAGAAAGCCCCTCCATCCCCCAACGCCACACCACTCCCGTCTCAGAGGTCAGCTCAGGGGCATCATGGCCCTTTGTCGTGTCGGATCCTCCTGCTCCCACATGTACTCATGTCCTTACTCTTCCCACCTGTGGGGTCTTGGGGATGTGGTTTGTTCTGCAAAGCTGAGATGTATAAGACATGGGCACAATCAAAACCACCCTTCCTGACAGCCGTGCAGTCTGCTGAAGCAAGGACCAGTGGCTGAGGCCTGGCACTGACCCACAGGGAGAGCCCCCACTTGGTGGCTCTAATTCTGCAGAGCAGCTCTGCCTTCTCTGGTCGATGGTTAGCTCATCCTCAGCCTGAAGTGCTGTGGAGTTTAGATGCTACAGCCCAGTGGTCACTCTTTAATTAGCCCACATGAGGCATTAAAATGCAGCCAGCCCTGGTGGTGAGGCCAGCCTGGTGAGGGCTGCTGCACATACCAGGTGCCAGCGTGAGCCAGCAAACCCCGGCAGGGCCCCTCACACTTAGAGACCTGGAGGGCTTCAGACACCTCAGCCTCTTTCTGCTCCCTTTAATTGAAAGCTTTTGAAACAAGAAGGCTGAGAAATCATTTCTCCCTGGCCCCCAAAATTTCTCTCCTCTGCAGGAGACCTGTTAGTTCCTGACAGCTTTTCTTCCCCTAAATAAATTCTGCACCGGATTGTACGGAGGGCGTCCACAGGCCCACTTGCCTCTGTGGTGCCAGCAGAGCTGTTGAGGGCGTGACTCACATACCCAGCCCGCCTCTGTCATTGCAGGCGGCGCATGAAGCGGGTCTGGGACCGAGCCGTGGAGTTCCTGGCCTCCAATGAATCCCGGATCCAGACAGAGTCCCACCGAGTGGCTGGAGAGGATATGCTGGTGTGGAGATGGACTAAGCCCTCTTCCTTCTCTGACTCGGAGCGATAAACCCAGGCGGGGGCCTGTTCCCAGTCAGCCTGTCCGCAGGACAGCCCACTGCAGGGTGTGAGAGGGCTGCCAGCCCTACCGGTGCTGAAGTCACACTTGCCTTGATTTTTCTCATCTGACACCGATTCCAACGGGTCTCTGTAAGACCTGTAGAGATTAGCTCATTAGGAAAATGTGGGCTTTCCCTAAGGGTGGAGGGGAGAAGCCAGGGCTAGACAGGCAGCTTCTCCTCCACATTGGACCAATCCCTTTTGCTCTGCTTTGCTGGCAGAAAAGGGGGAAAGGGTTTGTCTGTCACGTACAGAAAAGATAAAGGAGCAGCAGTTGTAAAAAACCCTGCAGAGCAAGTGTGAGGCACGTAAGCCTGAGCCCGTCCACCACCAGCACGGCCGTGGGACTGTGAGGTGGGCAGCGCCGGTGGGAGGTGGGTCGGGATAGTGGGTCGGGGCAGCAGGGGTTAGGGGAGCAGCTTGGTTCATGTGCCTTCATGGGGTGTTTACCTGGGAGCTCTAGAGTACAGAAAGAAAGCCTGTCTTCTGGCTGGGTGGGGTCCTTCAGCCTGAAAGGGTAAGATGCTAGAAATTAGAAAAAGTGAATGTAGAACTGTCTAGAAACACTGGGTCCTCAGGTCAGGGGGTGAGCAGCTGATGTGTTCTCCTGAGAGGAACCTAGTGTGAACAGAGAGGAGGGTCGGGCAGCCACACAGCCAGCGCCTCAGTGCCCACCCCAAGACAGCCTCCCCAGGAGGGCCTCCCCATGGCACTACTCAACATTCATCAATGCAGTGCAGCTAGCACTTGCATTGAAGGCAAGAGTGCTGATTGTCAGACTCAAGGCTTTCTTGCCAAGGCCGAGAGCCTTGCCCTTACTGTACGCAGAGACCACCTTGTTTGAGGCTGTTTAAGAGAATTGCTGCCCAAGCCGTTCTGTAGGCCCAGCTGCCACCGCTCCCTGGACAAGGGCGAGGTGCAGAGGCACTGCCCCCTGCTGGCCACACGAGCGCAGTGCCAGCGCGCACAGCCTTCATTAGGCCCCTCCCGCGCGGTTCATCAGCCCGCAGCCACGCAGGAGGCCAGCTCCAGAAACAAAGCAACAGGGGGCCTTATTAGTTAAGTACGAGAGAGCCTCTCCAACGGAGCCTGGGCCCCATATGTTCTCATCTGCAGCAGGAGATGAGGAGCAAGCCGAGGAGGCGCAACAGCTGCTTCGGAAGACGTTAACCACTCCTTTCTGGTCTTATTGGCATTTTTTGGTTTTCTTAATAAAGCTCCAGTCTCCCTCATTTTAGCAATACTCTCTCATTTCCTTTGATGGCTTGGTGATCGACAGGGCTGGATTCTAAGCACTCAACCTGTGGTGAAGCAATGTTCTCATAATCATGCACCAGCCGGAAGAACAAGAAACACCAAAACAGGCTTCAGTGGGTGGAAACTGTTGAATGAATAAAATATTTATTAAAAATGGATGTGTGTCTCCGTGGTTCTTTCCCTTTCCCCCAGAGTGAGGTATAAGGATTGGCAGTGTGTGGAGCACTGTCCCTGGAGGTCAGCTGGAGACCAAACAGGAGATGGCATAGTAGGGTCTGAAGAAACCTCCTGGTAATCTGTGCCCTTTCCCTGGGCATGGGCTTCGGCTTCCAAGTCCAACAGTGTGATGACTACACGCAGGATCACTGAGGGAGGCAGGCATTGAGACCGCCTCTTTCCTCCAGCGTCATTTCTGCCCCCTGGGGAGTCTCCAGAGCTGCCCTGGGCTGCTCAGCACCCGGTTTCAGGGAAGGCAGGCTGAATGAGATTGGAGGGGACTGGGGTCTATTCATCTGCCAGGCTTGTGATTCTCAGGGTACAGGAAGATGTTGCCGCGAACTCCTCTCGTCTCATCTGGGTTCCAACCGATGGTGAGAACATGACACCCAAGAGGGCCAAAACCACTTCCCTGGTTCACTCAAGGTGTAATTTGGCAGGCACACAAGGGTCCCTCACATGCAAGGGTGGCCAAGAGGTGCAGGCATGTGGGGTTGGCACTAAGGTTCTCTCCCATCTTCCTTGTATATGGGGCCCCAAGGGCCACCCCAAAGAGAAGGCAGGCTTTGCTGTATCCTGGGGAGTTTGCAGCCTGTCCATGGGGGCCTCACCTGTGGCTAGTGACAGGTGCTGAGCAGTCAGACAAAAGACCCAGAAAAACAACCTCGAGGAGAATGAACCTTAACTGGTTTTCAGTGAAAGCTTTCCCTTCTGTGTTTTGTCAAAACCAAGAAAGGAGCTAATACAGGGCTCTATTTCTGCAAAGCTGTTTGGAAAGCAGGCACAAGATCAAAATACTGTAAACTCGGTAACAAAAGGCCCCTGCCGGCTGCTCCCTCCTCTGGTGCACTGAGGCCCCAGGCGAGTCCTCAGCCCTCCTCAGCACTGCAGACGGTTCAGATCCATGCTCGGCTTTGAAGAATCCAGTTTGACTTTTAAGCAGGTTTTATTTCACAATGGATGGTATGAGGGGGTGGGATCTGCCTGGGAGTTAAAAGTCCTGGGCATTTTTGGACAGAAGTCGTTGAGGGGGATTTCTCTTAATCTGCCCAAATCTCAGGGCCTGAAGACCTCTTTCTTCAAGTGACACAGAGCCCTCTCAGACCTTGGTGGATTTTGGTGGGCAAGGGAGAGAGGCTGTACCCACAAATCTCACCCATGGACATCCATCCCTGAGTTCCAGGCCACCTTCCAGAGTCTCTGCTCAGGAAAAAGGTAAACACGGCCATTTGTCACTGACTTATCATAAGAACTGCGGTAGCAGCTGTTCCCCGTTAATTAATACACCATTGACTTTGAGCCTCAAAAGAAAATATCCCTTTGTTGAGGCAGGTGTGTAGACTCAAATCCATTATCTAGCCTCTCTGCTTTCCCCAAAGGGAAGGGACAGGAAACAGTTACGCAGTTAAGTCAATCCCACTGTTCCCAAACAGACCTGATGAGGGGACGGCCAGGCCAAATCTGTCCTCATTGCCAGATAAAGTTCTAGAGCAAGGGATTTTAGAGAATCTGGACAGAGATATCCATTCCTGTGTCAGGAAGAAGGATGGAACAGAATCAGTGAGGGATAGGCAGTCCCCCACCCCCACCCCGGGTCCACTGTTCCTCCAAGGTAGAAAGGAAGCTAGACTGTCTCCACTCTTTAGTGGCTGGGCCTCAACGCCATGAATTTTCTCTCTGGAGCAGTGGGCCTATTAGGAAAAAAGTGAAAAAAATTAGCCAAACATGGTAACTTTATGACACGTTGAATGTTGTTCTCACTGCTACAGCTTGCAGAATGCTTGCAGCAACCCCGTACGGTGGAAGCTGCTGTTTTCCTCTTGCAGAGATGGGGATACTGAGGCACAGAAGGTCAGGCGGGTAGTGAAGCTAGAACTTAAACTCAGACCACTTGGCTCCAGAATCTCCTCAGACTCTCCCTCTTCCACTATTAAAAATAACAAGGAAGCTGCTATCAGATTCGTTTTGCTAATGTGGATTTGCCAGAGCAGAAAAAAACAGCACTTTTGAGGACAAGCTGAGATCTCTCCCAAAGGAAGAGGATTCTGGGAATCCTGCTGTGACCTCCACCTACCCTGGGGGTCCTTGGACCTAACCTCCCTCTGCTCGTCCCCCAGCTCCCACCTCACTGCCCCACACTCACACCGGGCCCATGCCTCCCTCAGAGCCTTTGCTCTTGCTGTTCTACGTGTCCACTCTGCTGTCCCTCAGATCTCCCTGGGACCACTCTGCTGTCCCTCAGATCTCCCTGGGACTCACCCCCTCCCTCCGTCAGCCCTTGTACCGTTACCATCTCCCCTGTTGAAGATTATAGGGGCACCTCCAATGAGGTGCAAGAAATCATGGCCTTTCTCATAATGATCTTGTAACTCCTATAAAATGATTGGATGTGATATGCAAATAAGGTCCTTGTGTCCAAAGGGATTGGACAAGACGCAAATAATGCAAATAAAGTACACAGAAACCTGTGAGGGTGGAACCATGAAAATAGGTGTATAGAACCCTAATGAGAAGCTCGGTCAGTTTTGCCATCCTTAGAAGAGAGCCAATCTCAGAACAAAGGGGAGGCTTCACTACCACTAAGAAAGAATTATTGAGAGTAGAGCAAGTTCTTAGGATGAAGGGTCCTTGCACTAAGAGCCTCATAGACTCAAAACACAGAGAAGGTGCTGTAACAGAAGACACAGTGACAGCCAGCCTCAGGCGTGAGCAGAATCCAGTGGCAGAGAAACAGCAGCAGCAGACCCAGGAGACTGGCAGGAGGTGGTGGGGTGGGCTTCAGAGCCAAATAGAGTGAGGGAGTTGAGCACCTTTGGGCAGACAGAGTGGAGCGCCTCCAGGCACTCAGCAGAGCTGGACTTGACAAGTCAGTGCTGGAGAGCTAAGCACCTTTGGGCCTTTGTCAACTGGCAGAATGCGGAGCCTCTGAGTACTTATCAGGGAAGTTAAAAAGCATTGTAACACCTGTCCAAGCAAGGCAGAGCTCAAGCCAGCCCAAGGGGTCAAGAAGCTATCCTGATGTGAAAAGCCACATCCTGAATCACCCCTGATACTGTTTCCCTAGCAAACTCTGTAATCATGAGCATTATCTTTGAGTTCTGGGTGGCCATTGCAACAAATGATCGAGCTCAGCAGAGAAATGTTATGGGGAGAGACAGTTGGAATCACAATGAATTAAATTAAAGGTCGCAGGGTGGAGGTATGTCGGACCTCCACCACATACCTTTTGACTAATGTTGATCTTGGTTCCTCTGCTTCCCTCTTACGAAGTTTGAGGCAGTTGGATGCTCTCGCCACATCCTTTTTACAGCTGTAAATGCTCAGAACCTGTACGTCCTCCATGGCCCAGCCTTATTATTATTTTTTTTTATGTTTTCTGTCTGTGTTGTCTTGCTGCCTCCACCCTATGTCAGCTCTATGAGGGCACAGATCTTTGGTTTTGTTCACTATTATCTCCCTAGCACTTAGAACAGTGTCTGGCACATTTAAGGGGTGCAGTAAAATGTTGGCAAGTAGATAAATGGAAACACACTACATCGAAAGAAAACATTTGAGTTGCTGAACACCTTTTTGGACAAGTACTATTTAATGTTCCTTTTTAGTCTGATCTAAGTGTGCCAAGGCACAGCACTCACTCTGTCTGGCCACCACTCCATCCCTCCACACTGCCTGGCACTGTGCAGCATCC